ATTAACCAATAAAATTTTATGATATCACGGGATGATCTACAAAAATTGGCCAATCGGAATGAAAGCCCGCTATGCTTCAGTAGAGCAGGTGTGCCATTTGCATCTCTATACACACGGTCAGCATTGGCTTTAAAGACACCAAGGTCAGAGTTAGGAATTAGATCATGTGCTGTGTCCCTATAATTCGTCTCTGAAAGACGTGTAAAGATCATTTGACTAATATATTTCGTGATAATGTTAATTTACGTTATCAATATAAATTGTTTATTTTTATTAAGTTACCATTGTTATGTTCTTTTAAATATAAGCTATACATATTTATGGCGTAGCATGTATAAAGTCGAGTAATTTGTTACAGTAAAAACAAGAAATCAGCATATGAATTGATTTATCAATCGTAAAGTTATTCATTTTCAAAATCATTGATATCAATCTCGAAAGCAATATAAAATGCATCATTCATTTTGCATTGAATGATATTTTGGTTGTTGATCAGCATACGTTTATAAAATTGAATCTTTCGAGGATTAGAACGAAAAATTTTTGTTCGTAGTTCACTATTCTTTGCTCTAGTTCATTTATTCTGCCACCATATTGAATAATCTCCCTCCTTATTTATTTTAAAATATGACAAAATTTAGCCTGATGCATGTGTTTTTTATCATTACTTTTACTGTTATGCTCTTTATTGATGAACCTAATACAGTTTATGGTAATTTGTGTGTTAATTTACGCGAGTCTCTAAACAAAATACGATCAACATGCACAGATAAGATTATTATGAACAAGGACAATCAAAAAAGGCAAAGTAGACCACCAGCTTGCCAACCTGTAAAAGCCGAAGTATCCGCAGATTCTCAAGTAAATATTGGTAAAAGTAAAGGTAAAAAAAAAAGTCGTAGTAATATTCCGCTTATTTCCTGCAACGGCTTTGAAAATTGGGATCGTGGTACATGTGGAATTGGTCAACCACCATCACCTGAAATATTCATAATACCTCAATGCTCTGAAAGTTCAAAAATGCCTAAAGGTAAAGGTAAAGGAAAGGCGCCTAAAGAACAACCAATCAGCGTATCGGCATCTGTAAAGGTATGTATTTAATATACGACAATACTTCAATAATTTATTATTCTAATATATGTTTATTCATGTTTAGGCCACAATCGACAACAGACCAAAAAATGGCTGTCGACCCTCTAATAATGTTTGCCAACCTTGTGATGATGTTTGTCAATCTTGTGAGGATGTTTGTCGACGAGATGAGCATGTCAATTTACAATCAAGGCAATTTGATAATTTTTTGTGTAGCGGCACCCCCTATAGCGTTAGTTCACGCCCGGATTTGAGAGTTTGAATTATGATACATGTGGGCTTGAACAACCACCACCTGAGGTCTTTATAGTACCTCAATATTGTCCAAAACGACCTAAGGGTAAAGGAAAAAGAAAAGGAAAAGGGAAAGGGAAGGCACCCAAAGAGCCAATCAGTGTATCAGCTTCTGGAAAGGTAATCGTTTAAACATCTGATGATACCTCAACTATTTTATTATTTATATGTATGCTTGCTTATTCTTTAGGCCACCATTGACTTTGGGAAACAACCTAAAAGACATAATAATTCCTGCCAACCTTGTGATATTAAATGAAAATATACAATCGAGGCAATTAGTCGGCCCCAGGTTTTAACTTATCTCCGCACAGAACGAATTGGCAGATTTAAGCACCCGAGAGTCTTATAAATTTTAAAACGAAACCTCGCGAGGATAAGATATTTAGGAACAAAAAACCTAGGCATCCAAATTCATTTCTGTTATAGCTTAAATAATTTTATTCTTTTGCTTATAATTTGCATATATTTTCAAATATTTTAATCTCTATTATTTTAATTACCTGGAGATTGTTGATCTATCGACTAAGACCAAAAAACAAAAAAGGCGGGGCTTTTTTTTTATAAATAGTTAAAATTTCCTTTCAAAAAATCTTGTATCAAATAATATATATTACGTAGCGCCAATACATATCGATATATATAGTATAATAATAATAACGTTATTGAGGCTAGCATATAGTAAAATTTTGCAAGAAAAATTTTTTGTTAGACATTAAAGACGGTTTCATAAGCAAAATCTTGGTAATATCAATTTCTTTAAACAAATTAAAGTTGCATCTGATCTTCACGTTAAATACTGTATACAATTTAATTGGTAAATCATTAGGATGATATGTAAAATTTAGACAAACTAGATTTCTAGGATTAAAAAATTGTCGGTTTAATATTTGGGTATTATTTCGAAAACTCACTAGCATTTAAGGTTATGAAATTTTAAGAATAAACCGGAAAGAATGACATCATCCAATTAAATTTTTTAATTGGACAATTTTGGACATGTCCAAAAAAACTATATAAAAATAATATTATGATGCACACATGATATCTTGTGATCCAGTGATCAGAATCGAATGATTTTACTACCATTCGATTTGTCTCGATGAGTCGAATTGAATGGTAGTAAAATCATCCAATTCTGATCACTGGATCACAAGATATTGATACTTAAATAAAATAAAGTTTTAATAAAACCTAATCGTAGTATGCGTAGTATGTTAATAGCGGCTTTTTTTATTAAGAAAATCGAACTTCGTTATTAAGACAATTTTGTTCATCATGATAAATTCTACTTCTAAATTATCATAAAAATTGAATAATTTTCTATTAATGGTCATTTGTAAAAAACTTACTTGCGTCATAATAGATTCTTTTAATTTTTATAAAAATCAATTAATAAAAAATTATACGATTTTTATGAGAATTTAGAGATAAGTAGAACTTACAATGATGAATAAAATTGCTTATTAATGAAGATCGATTTACTTAATAAAAAATTTGCTAACAATACATCAAAGTTATGTTTTTTTTATTCTTTTAAAATTTAATATTTAATTGGTTATAACTTGTGATGTAGTGATCAAAATCGAATGATTCAAGTACCATTCAACTCGTCTCATTGAGATGAATCGAATGGTACCAAAATCGTTTGATCCTGATCGCTAGATCACGATATATCATATGTGCGTCATAATTGGTACACATATAATTGTAATATCGTGTGATCTAGTGGTCAGAATTGAACGATTTTTGTATCATTCGATTCATCTCGATGTGACGAATCGAATGATAACAAAATCGTTCGACTCTGATCACTAGATTACGTGATAACAGCTGCAAATTTACCTATAATACCCCTTTTCCAAAAACACTGCCGGCTAAAGCGGAGTGAAGTTTTATGATTACCTTTTTGACGCAGTTAGGTTAGTAGGTCAAGAATGTAATTTATGCAGCATGTAGATCATATATTGAATTAACTCCGCTTTCGCCGACCCTAATATCAATTAACTCCTCCTTATTACCTATTTTGGATAAATGATAAAAATGGCAAACTTCGGGGCTCGCATTTTTTTCCATTTTATTTTTAATCACCCTTAAAATTTCATAATAAATGCCTTTGAATTTGCAAAACGATACCCAGAAATTAAACCGACAACTTTTTTATCTAGAAAGCATATTAAAAATTTTACGCACATGATCGGATAATCGGTACGTACATATCATGATATGTACGTAGAAACTACAATCCCCTTATAAGGACAAGTATATACGAATGATATATTTCCTAAATTATTAGCATCAATAAAGAGTACGTATTTTATTGAAGACGATAATTTAAGAAAAATTTGATTTCAAATGTGCAACTTAATTATACCTATGTACTTAATTATACGTTACATTAACTCTGGAGAGATGATTTTAAATTTTCTGCTCGATGCATAATCAAGTAGCATATTGAAATCTAATATATTTCTTAAATTATCAACTTTAATCAAGTATTTCTGTATTTATGTACGTACAAGCTTTGTTGATGCTGATAATAATTTAGGAAATATCTTGTCTTTATGAGGAGATTGTTTTTAAATTTCTTGCACCGTACGTACGTACGTACGTACATAATTAGCAATTCAGAATATTGCGCTTCAATCACAGCCGACAGACCAATTATTTATTAGCCACATTATTTCTGTATCATGTATGACGATGACGATGACGATGATGACAATGATGACGATAAGCATCTGATCTGATCACAACAGAAATCCAGTGACGATGACATCTGATTAATTATTAGCCACATAAATTTCCATTTCTGCGATGGACATACTCAAATAATTACGTATCTTTACGATTATACAGTACATTACAAGTGACGTTAGCTATATTTTTTTTATGAGCAGAGCAATGCTAGGTTTGCCCACACGTCACTGTCGGAGTACCATAAAATTGATTAAATAACATAGACACTCCGATATTGAACCAATCAGAAGTGTAGTAAACTCGGTTGGCTACGTACGTACGTACGTACGTAGCCCAATGGCGCTTGAGTACCTAATTCTGGCCACTCCATAATATCATGTTGTACAGTAAAGCACAGCCGACCTGTATATTGTTTTAAAGGCCGAATCAAGTGTCACCTGGAAACAAATATTTACCAGACGAAAACAATATGCGTAATGTGTTTATTAAGAATAATGATGCAATGTATGTAAATTATTGATCAAGTACGTACGTACGTACGTTACATGCGTATGTAATGTGCTACATGAAGATGTAGACGAAGAATTGAAATATGAGATGACATAGATGACATAATGACATATGGGATCGTACCCCAAACATTGGGTTAATTCTGGTCAAATTTGCAGATCATTTGGCTCATTGCCAAGGGCCAAATGATCTGCAAATTTGACCAGAATTAACACAATTTTTGGGGTACGAACATATGATTTAATTGGACGAATATTAAAGGCATGAATAGGAAGACCTTCGCTTTTACGCAGGAATATTATAATGGAAATAAAAATAGATTATAGGCTGAAATTCTGATATCAAATAATAAAATAAGTATATATATATCAGGATATCAAATGATAAAATCATTATCATTCAGCCACTTGACATCGGAATTTTAGACAATGCTGCAATTCTAGGTTAGGATACGCGCGATCATGCATTCGACTAGATTTATAATTATTAAAGTTAATTGACGGGTAAATTAAAAGGCAGGAGAATAATTGTATACATAATGATAGTGATAGTGATGAATAGTAATTCAGGTATTCACTCCCTCATCTGGGTCGAATAACTGTTATTACCGATATTTATTATGACAAAACCAGGATTATACACAAGCAGGGTCAAAGATAGATTTTGAATTAAAATTAGCAAATCGGCTGAGTGGTCTAAGCCGATAACAGCAGTTGATAGTGAGTCAATGACAACCTTCACAAAGAAATGACAAAGAAATGAGCCACAATCAAATATTTATCATAATAGATGAGAATGCGGCCGATTTCCATTTCTGAAGATTCATGTACAGTATTTTTAATTTACATTTGGCATAATAACAGATAATAAAGACCAATGATAGAGAAAATAAGCTTACAATAAATCATTTGATATAGTTATAAACCACTTGATATAGTTATATGATATAGATATATGGCGAATCCATTAATATGAAATTTTGGATAAATTAAAAAATATACATCTGGCAATTAGTTATAATTAATTATTATAATTAATTATATATTGTTATAATTAATTATATATTGTTATAATTAATTATATATTGTTATAATTAATTATAATTAATTATAAGGGATAAGCATCTTTTAAGAAGATGCTCAAATTAAAATTGCATCGACCAACCAAATGCCAAGTTGATGTATGTTGGTTCATTGTTGAGTCTATTTTTTTAACATTGCATAATAATATTTCCAAATAAAACGGTTATGATTTTTTGTGGACATTAAAATACCGATACTTGATGCTACTTGATGCTACTTGATGAACGTTTTTTTTTCATTTGTGAACTTTAAAAGTAAATCACAATCATTGATTCACGCGAATGTTCGGGGTTACAGACTTTACAATCTAATACTTGAATATGTGTAACATTAAAAGTGGACCGACCTGTGCATATCGAATAACTAATTTAAGAAAAAAGTGAAACAAAAAATGCATATAGAGGAACTTATTTAGAGACTGGAATAATTCTGTGAAATAATTAGTGTAATAATTAGTGTAATAATTTGTGTAATACGTGGCTTTCAAAACAAACGTACTGTTGTTTCGTCTCCTTGTGAAATGTGTGAATTGTGTGCGTATGTACTTCGTACGTATATTTATGTTTCTCTAACATGAGACCGTTTGGTAAATATATTTGTTACTGTTTAATACAATTTATCCTTGAATTTCATCCTAGAATTTATGGGGCGAAGGTAATCATGAGAATAACACTACTTTTAATATATGCATACTTAGCAGGAAAGATATGCAGCTATGTATATACATACATACATATATAGTATACATACATATATAGTGTATATCGATATACGTAAGTACAAAATAAGAATTTTCAGAATTTTATATCATCTTTCAACATTCGTAGCATCGTAGCATCGTAGCATTCGTTTAACATTTTCAGTAACTTTCATCTCCTAATAAAAATGCCATTAATGATATAATGATATTAATACGTAATATATATTATACCCATATATATACATACCATATATCAATCAAATATACCAATCAAAGAAAATTCTTGTATTTGTAATAAAAATTTACTAAATGTGTTTCTATTGTAATTGTTTATCTTACCTAAAAAGTAACGCATGCAACCCGAATGAATTGGTTTGTATTTTTTTTTTTTTTATACCCGATACAATTAAATACAATCAATCAATGATTCATCAGACTACGGATATCAAACCATTAACGTGTTAAAAAAAAACTATAAAAGATCATATTTCTTTACCTTCCCTTTTTTAAAAATCAACTTAAAATTTCTATATTTTAAAGATAGAAACAAAAAGTTTAAACTTGTATACTCAATTATATTCATCGTATTATAAATTCTTTCACCCACTTTTAATAAATAAAAATTCATAAAATGGCTACTCGAGTTGATAGCAGAGGACATGACCATTTTGTTACCGACAAGTCCTTTCATAATCTTACCAGGGTGGCATCAAAAAAAATTTCTACCCTTCGTCATCGTATTTCATCTCGTAAACCCGTTGTTAATTCGTTGAAACCCGATTTTGATTTCATAACACCTAATAATAATATTATTAATAATAATAATATTAATAATATTAATAATAAAATTAATAATAATAATAAACTACAAAAATCAAAATCCAATCTCGTTCAACAAGATAACTCATACTTTGCTGAGCAAAGAACATACGAAGACTTAGAATTACCAAGAATGGGTAAAGAAAACTTATCAAGAGGAAATGATGAAAATGAAACTATTACTCAAGAATTACATTCACAAGAACCATATTCTCAGGTGGCTACTATTTTACCAAACCAAGAAAATGAACAGATCTCAACCGGGGAACAACCTCTCAAACGAAATACTTCTTTAGTAAAAGTCAAGAATGCCGTAAAACGATTTGCTTCTATTAATAAACATGAAAGAAAGAGGGATTCTGAAGCATACCATCAGGATGGTAAAACAAATCCTTTCGAATAAAAATGTTTACTCAATCTCTATTTTGTAAATATTTCATTCCTTTGTATCTATGCCTCGTATGAAATTAAAAATCCATGTGATAATGTTAATCTATATAAATATATAAATATATATATATTTTTTTTTTATATGTACGATATTAAATAAATTTTAAATAAAACTTAATCTTATCACTATTGTTTATCAATTTCAATTCAAGTAATTCAAAAAATTCAAAAAATTCAAAAGATTCAAAAAAATCAGGCAATTCAGGCAATTCAGGCAATTCAAGGGGGTTTCAGTTTAATTCAATTCAAGGGGTTGTGATCGGTTTTACGTATTTTTAATATATAAAAATCCGATACCTTCCAATACCTTCCAATACCTTCCAATACCTTCCAATATCTTCCAATATCTTCCAATACCTTGTGATTAACAGTTATAATACCGATATAAATCCGATACTTGTGATTAACGTTTTAACTCTTGAATCTAGCGCTAGTCAACTCTTGAATCTAATCTAGGTTTGGTTCATCCGATCCAAAACCTGATATTCAAATATTTTATATATGATATACCGATACTGCTTAATATATATGCATACTAATCTATATATATATTTACTTTTGACCAATTTATAATTTATTTATTTATTTGTTTATTTTTTTATTTATATGAATTTAGTTTTAAAATTTATTAATCATATAACGATGATACTGAAATTTACGTTTTAATTTCTGTTACTATGAGGGTGAGGCAATAAATTTTTTTTAGCTGTTAATTTTTTTTTAAATAAAACTTTAAAATAATCCGAATTAGAACTTAGCATTATGCTCTTTTTGGACAAAGTTTTTAAAAAAAATGAATTTCTATTATAAAAAAATATATACTTATATATATACGTATAATTTTCTATATAACCATTTTAAACGATGAGTTATGCACTAACCAACTATAATTGTAACTCGGATAAAAACTTTCATATATCTTACATAGTAAATTTAAATTCGGTTAAATCCAAACTTTGTGTAAATTTACATTTAGTATCGTATGATTCTCCTCATTCGATAATCTTAGCTAATAACTTTGTATTTCTTAAATTAATCTCGAATTACCGTATTAGTAAAAACCGCAATGTTTTACGTACGAATAATCACGCATTATGTCCTTTTTAGACGTGTCTTTAAATTTTAGGCTATATATTTATATAAAAATTGCGTATATATGTTGTAAGTGGGAATGGAATTTAAGTGTATTTTGAATTTCCTAGTTAAATTAGGGTTAGGGTTAGGGTGTACATATGATAAATCAACCCCAAAACGGGGGGTTTTATATATAAATTCCGAATCCACTTAAATTCCGTTTCCACTTACAACATATACATTTTATAATATACAGTCTTCCTCCTCTATAATCACCTCCTATACAATCACAACTTCTATATAATCACACTAATTTTTAATACAATTTTTTTATTTAATAAAATACTTCTGTATAATCACAATTTGCCTATAATCACTATCACATGAGTAC